CTGCCCTACTGGCCTAGCTGTACCCTATCCTGATCTACTGGCCCTATCTGTACCCTACCCTGCCCTGCCCGCCCGCGGCTGTACCCTATCCTGCCCTGCTGGCCATAGCTTTACCCTACCCTGACCTGCTGGCCCTGGCTCTACCCTGCTATACTGGCTCCAGGCTGTACCTACCCTGCTCTTGAGGCCCTAGCTGTACCCCTACGCTGCCCTGCTCGCCCCTGGCTATACCCAGCCCTGCCCTGCCCTCCCTTCTGGCCCTGGCCCTAGCTGTACCCTACCCTGACCTGCTGGCCCTAGCTGTACCCTGCCCTACTTGCCCCAGGCTGTACCTACCCTACCCTAGTGGCCCTGGATGTACCCTACCCTAGCCTGCTATACTGGCCCTAGCTTTACCCTACCCTTCCCTGCTGGCCCTAGCTGTACCCTACCCTACCCTGCTATAGTGGCCCTGGCTGTACCCTACCCTGCCCTGCTCGCCCCGAGCTATACCCAGCCCTGCCCTGCTTGACCCCGGCTGTACCCTACCCTGCCCTGCTCGCCCCCAGCTGTACCCTAGCCTGCTATACCGGCCCAGACTGTACCTACCCTGCTCTTGTGGCCCTAGCTGTACCCCTACGCTGCCCTGCTCGTCCCTGGCTATACCCAGCCCTGCCCTACAGGCCCTAGCTGAACCCTACCCTGCCCTACTGGCCCTAGCTGTACCCTACCCTGGCCTACTGGCCCTAGCTGTACCCTACCCTTCCCTGCCCGCCCGCGGCTGTACCCTATCCTGCCCTACTGGCCCTAGCTGTACCCTACCCTGCTATACTTGCCCCAGGCTGTACCTACCCTGCTCTTGTGGCCCTAGCTGTACCCCTACCCTACCCTGCTCTAGTGGCCCTGGCTGTACCCTACCCTACCCTGCTCTAGTGGCCCTGGCTGTACCCACCCTAGCCTGCTATACTGGCCCTAGCTGTACCCTACCCTTCCCTGCTCGCCCTAGCTGTCCCCTACCCTTCCCTGCTCGCCCCCAGCTGTACCCTACCCACTATACTGGCCCCAGGCTGTACCTACCCTGCTCTTGTGGCCCCAGCTGTACCCTAGCCTGCTATACTGGCCCTAGCTGTACCCTACCCTTCCCTGCTCGCCCCGGCTGTACCCTACCCTGCCCTGCTCGCCCCCAGCTGTACCCTAGCCTGCTATACTGTCCCTGGCTACACCCTAGCCTGCTATACTGTCCCTGGCTACACCCTCGCCTGCTATACTGGCCCTAGCTGTACCCTACTCTGCCCTGCTCGCCCTAGCTGGCCCCTACCGTGCCCTACTCGCCCCCAGCTGTACCCTACCCTGCTATACTGGCCCTGGCTGTACCTACCCTGCTCTAGTGGCCCTAGCTGTACCCTATCCTGACCTACTGGCCCTAGCTGTACCCTACCCTGCCCTACTGGCCCTAGCTGTACTCGTACGCTGCCCTGCTCGTCCCTGACTATACCAAGCCCTGCCCTCCAGGCCCTAGCTGAACCCTACCCTGCCCTACTGGCCCTAGCTGTACCCTACCCTGCCCTACTGGCCCTAGCTGTACTCGTACGCTGCCCTGCTCGTCCCTGACTATACCAAGCCCTGCCCTCCAGGCCCTAGCTGAACCCTACCCTGCCCTACTGGCCCTAGCTGTACCCTACCCTGCCCTACTGGCCCTAGCTGTACCCTACCCTGCTCTAGTGGCCCTAGCTGTACCCCTACGCTGCCCTGCTCGCCCCTGGCTATACCCAGCCCTGCCCTGCTTGCCCCCGGCTGTACTCTACCCTGCCCTACTGGCCCTAGCTGTCCCCTACCCTTCCCTGCTCGCCCCCAGCTGTACCCTACCCTGCTATACTGGCCCCAGGCTGTACCTACCCTGCTCTTGTGGCCCTAGCTGTACCCCTACGCTGCCCCACCGGCTGTACCCTATCCTGCCCTGCTGGTTCTAGCTGTACCCTACCCTGACCTGCTGGCCCTAGCTGTACCCTGCCCTACTTGCCCCAGGCTGTAGCTACCCTGCTCTTGTGGCCCTAGCTGTACCCTATCCTGATCTACTGGCCCTAGCTGTACCCTATCCTGATCTACTGGCCATATCTGTACCCTACCCTGCCCTGCCCGCCCGCGGCTGTACCCTATCCTGCCCTGCTGGCCATAGCTTTACCCTACCCTGACCTGCTGGCCCTGGCTCTACCCTGCTATACTGGCCCCAGGCTGTACCTACCCTGCTCTTGAGGCCCTAGCTGTACCCCTACGCTGCCCTGCTCGCCCCTGGCTATACCCAGCCCTGCCCTGCCCTCCCTTCTGGCCCTGGCCCTAGCTGTACCCTACCCTGACCTGCTGGCCCTAGCTGTACCCTGCCCTACTTGCCCCAGGCTGTACCTACCCTACCCTAGTGGCCCTGGCTGTACCCTACCCTAGCCTGCTATACTGGCCCTAGCTGTACCCTACCCTTCCCTGCTGGCCCTAGCTGTACCCTACCCTACCCTGCTATAGTGGCCCTGGCTGTACCCTACCCTGCCCTGCTCGCCCCGAGCTATACCCAGCCCTGCCCTGCTTGACCCCGGCTGTACCCTACCCTGCCCTGCTCGCCCCCAGCTGTACCCTAGCCTGCTATACCGGCCCAGACTGTACCTACCCTGCTCTTGTGGCCCTAGCTGTACCCCTACGCTGCCCTGCTCGTCCCTGGCTATACCCAGCCCTGCCCTACAGGCCCTAGCTGAACCCTACCCTGCCCTACAGGCCCTAGCTGAACCCTACCCTGCCCTACTGGCCCTAGCTGTACCCTACCCTGGCCTACTGGCCCTAGCTGTACCCTACCCTTCCCTGCCCGCCCGCGGCTGTACCCTATCCTGCCCTACTGGCCCTAGCTGTACCCTACCCTGCTATACTGGCCCCAGGCTGTACCTACCCTGCTCTTGTGGCCCTAGCTGTACCCCTACCCTACCCTGCTCTAGTGGCCCTGGCTGTACCCTACCCTACCCTGCTCTAGTGGCCCTGGCTGTACCCACCCTAGCCTGCTATACTGGCCCTAGCTGTACCCTACCCTTCCCTGCTCGCCCCCAGTTGTACCCTACCCACTATACTGGCCCCAGGCTGTACCTACCCTGCTCTTGTGGCCCTAGCTGTACCCCTACGCTGCCCTGCTCACCCCTGGCTATACCCAGCCCTGCCCTGCTTGCCTCCGGCTGTACACTATCCTGCCCTGCTGGCCCTAGCAGTACCCTACCCTGACCTGCTGGCCCTAGCTGTACCCCTACGCTGCCCTGCTCGCCCCTGGCTATACCCAGCCCTGCCCTGCTTGCCCCCGGCTGTACTCTACCCTGCCCTACTGGCCCTAGCTGTCCCCTACCGTGCCCTACTCGCCCCCAGCTGTACCCTAGCCTGCTATACTGGCCCTGGCTGTACCTACCCTGCTCTAGTGGATCAGCTGTACCCTACCCTGCCCTACTGGCCCTAGCTGTACCCTACCCTAGCCTGCTATACTAGCCCTAGCTGTACCCTACCCTGCCCTGCCCGCCCCCGGCTGTACCCTACCCTGCCCTGCCCGCCCCCGGCTGTACCCTATCCTGCCCTGCTGGCCCTAGCTGTACCCTACCCTGGCCTGCTGGCCCTGGCTGTACCCTACCCTAGCCTGCTATGCTGGCCCTGGCTGTACCTACCCTGCTATACTGGCCCTAGCTGTACCCTACCCTTCCCTGCTCGCCCTAGCTGTCCCCTACCCTTCCCTGCTCGCCCCCAGCTGTACCCTAGCCTGCTATACTGGCCCTGGCTGTACCTAGCCTGCTATACTGGCCCTAGCTGTACCCTACCCTGCCCTGCTCGCCCTAGCTGTCCCCTACCGTGCCCTGCTCGCCCCCAGCTGTACCCTAGCCTGCTATACTGGCCCTGGCTGTACCTACCCTGCTCTAGTGGCCCTAGCTGTACCCCTACGCTGCCCTGCTCGCCCCTGGCTATACCCAGCCCTGCCCTGCTTGCCCCCGGCTGTACCCTACCCTGCCCTACTGGCCCTAGCTGTACCCACACAGCACTGCCTATCACCAGTCATGCAAACAACACTTCCTTATCAGTAGCCCTGCACCCTACCATTAGTCATGCACACAACACTGCCCTATCAGTAGCCCTCGCTGTATCACTTCGCTGTCCCTTAATTAGCTACCCTGCACTCTACACTGCCTCTCCCTTAAGCCCCTAAACCTTCACTGCCCTACCCGTATCCTGTACCTACTCTACACTGCCCTACCAACTGCCTTTTCAGCCTCTGTACCCTATGCTACCCTCCCTACCACCAACTGCCTTTACAGCCTCTGTACCCTATCCCGTATCCTCGGTACTGTATGCTACCCTAGCCTGTAACCTCGTTACTCTATGCTACCCTAACCTGTAACCTCGGTACCCTATGCTACCCTTTCTCGTAACCTCGGTACCCTATGCTACCCTACCTCGTAACCTCTACGCCCTACCCCATAGCCCCTGTACCCCCCAAACCATAATGATTGTGATTATCATTTAAATAAATATAAATAAATAAATAAATTATAAGGGGCCACTCACATCTTAGGAGTCTTAAGAATTGTAAATCCTCCATTCTGGTAGAGAAAGCCATCCTCTAAGAAGTAGTAACTAGTACAATCCAGATGTTGTCCAGCAGAACTGAGAATCCCAGCAGCCTGGACAAACATCACAGCTAGAGTTGTACAATACATGCTGAATGGCTCAACATATCAGGCCTACTAGTTAAATAACCTAATATCTATTACTGTTATTTTGGAGTTTTCAAGATTATATCCTAAAGAACTGTTGAAATAGTAGGAACTTGGAAGTTATTTTATGGTTGCATTAACATATCTGCAAAATAGATAGCAAAGTTTTAACCAATCTCACAATGCATTGGGGCCATGTTGGGTTGATCCATAATGCATTAAGAAACTTGGTTCTTTTTAGCACATATATCCTGTTTCAAGCTATGGATGATGACACCTTTTTTTCCTTGGCGTCCTTAGATGCTGTTCCGGTTACCAGAGAAATGTTATATAACTACACATATGGAGAGGGAGTGTGGGATAGTGTCTGCTCTCTGGTCGGAACTCCGTGAGACACTGAAACTTTGACAAACATCGGAGCGGTTCGACTTCTTAACAACATCCAGGATTCAACCCAACCGAGAACTTCATGATTTGTCCACTCCAAATACCTCTACAATTGTCTTGCAGCTGTGTGGTCACACTAAATTATCAATTGTATAAAACTGGTGTCAATAAAATATGATTTTAACATAAACAGTTGTTCTGACTAAACCTAATCGTGGATGAGGTTATTTTAGGGTAAATACAGAAAAGTTAGTTTAAATTTGGCAGTAAGGTCAGTCAGTGGGGCACACGGGAGGGACTATGGCTAACACTTCTATTAGTGTCAGCGTTCGCCGCTAGAACCGCTAAGTTGAAAAAATTTTAATTAAATATATAATTTTTAGTTATAAAATCAACTTTTTAATCATAAAATTAAACTGTCATAACCTAACCTAACCAACCAATCTTGCTGATAATATTACAAAATATTTAACAAAAAAATCAAATGAATGTTTACTTATAATCTTTAATTATAAAATTAATTTTAAAATTTAGTATTATAAAATTATAAACTGTCATAACCTAACCTAACCAACCAAACTTGCTGATAATATAAAAAAGATTAAGATAAAAATCAAAAAAAGGTTTACTTAAATAAAACTTTCTGTTCATAAATAAAATTATAAATGCATCAAATTCTAACAAAAGATGTACAGTTTAAGAAGTAGTCACATTCAAAGCAAAATCTTTGACAAAAAGTAAATGTCCCCGGCTGGTTTCGAACTGGAGACCTCCTGAACACCAGACCGAAACGCTATCAACTATGCCACAAACGCCGCTGGAATCACATCGTCTCGTTAGGGTAATCGTGTTGCCTCAAGAGAAGACATTAGCCACATGACGTCACCACACCATTAGCCAGAGTCCCTCCCGTATGCAAATTCCGTAAGGTAGTATGTTTGACTAGACTTGGCTTGAAAGTGAGGCTATGTCACAGCTGACTGCTGAATTTTGGCGGGATTCGCTGCCTGCTAACGTTTAGGTTGCAGAGGTTAAAAAATACTGGTCTATGGAAAATTACTGATACATCCCCATAAAGACTGGCAAAAAACCAAATTACATAAAATAAATTATAAAATTTCAAAATTTCCAAAAACAGTAAAATCTAACCCATTACTCATGTAACTAACCTACTATGCTGTACCTTTGACTATTAATACAACTAGACATACCATCCCCATGTTAAAATTTGTAGCCAGTTCTTTTACCAAAATGTTTGTAGTTGATGTGAGCCACCGACAGATTGTGCTGATCTACATTGCTTATTTCTGTCAAATACACAATCTTTTTTACTAATTCAAACTAATGGAAGGACTTATTGTGAGCTATATCAACTGTTAAGACCCATCAACTTGGCCAGCAACAAAAATAAGGTAGGAAATAGAATTTTTAGAAATATAAATTTAGTCACTAGCACATTCTGTGGCTGCCCAGCCCTGCTCGCCCCCAGCTGTAATCTACGATGCCCTACTCAGGGTGTCTAGTTTATTTTCATTATAAAATTCAAGACTAATTCCAGACTTTTCAAGACTAATTCCAGATTTTTCAAGACTAGTTTTTTTCAACAATTAGTGGGTGTTGATACCAAAATGTATCGATTCTCGATTCTTGATACCGATACCAATTTTTATAGCTTAACCAAATTTTCTGAATAATACTACACCAACCCCTGCCTTTGTCATAAAGTAGTATTATGATAATGTGGTGTTTTCAAGTAAAGAAATAATGCAGCAATAAGAAGTTCTAACTAGCAAATTTGGTTTTTTTTTATCATGAAATGTTCCACGGTACCGTACGTTTAGACATCATCTATGACTGCAGCGGTTACAGAAACGCGATCGTCGTCGTCCGCGATCACCGCAATATCATGAACATTTTCCGCGGCCTTGTAGACATCAATGACATCATCGTCGTCTCCCGAGGTCTCAGAAACGTCATCGTCATCGTCCGCGATCGCGGCAAAATCATGGACATTTCCCGCAGCCGAGCAGATACCATCGTCGTCTCCCGCGGTCACGGAAACGTCATCGTAGTCTCCCGCAGTCACGGAAACGCCATCGTCGTCGTCCGCGATCGCGGCAAAATCATGAACATTTCCCGCGGCTGTTTAGACATCACCATCATCTCCCGCGGTCACGGAAACGTTATCGTCGTCGTCCGCGATCATGGCAAAATCATGAACCTTTCCCGCGGCCATGTAGGCATCATCGTCGTCTCCCGCGGTCACGGAAACGTCATCGTCGTCTCCCGCGGTCACGGAAACGTCATCGTCGTCTCCCGCGGTCACGGAAACGTCATCGTAGTCTCCCGCTGTCACAGAAACGTCATCGTCGTCTCTCGTGGTTTCGGAAACGTCATCGTCTTCGTCCACTATCGCGGCAAAATCGTGAACATTTCCCGAGGCCGTGTAGACATCATCATTGGCTTTTGCGGTTACGTAAACGCAAGACGACGATCACGGCAAAATCATGAAAATTCCCGACTTTGAAATCAAATTTAAGACTAAATCCCGACTTTTCAAGACCATTTTGAAATTCAATACTAATTCAAATACTAATTCCCGACTTTCCCGATTTTTCTGACTACTAGACACCCTGCCTACTGGCCCCAGCTGTACCCCACGATGCCCTGCCCGTCAGTCTCCAGCTGTAAACCCTGCCCTGTTAGCCCCAGCTGTACTCTATACTGCCTTGTTCGCCCTAGCTGAACCCTACGATGCCCTGATACACCCAGCTGTACTCTATACCTTGCAATTTTCGCCCTAGCTGTACCCTACGATGCCCTGCTACATCCAGCTGTACTCTGTACTGCCCTTTTCGCCCTAGCTGTACCCTACGCTGTCCTGCTCGCCCCAGCTGTACTCTACCCAGCCCCCAGCTGCACCCTACCCTGCTCTGGTACAACCAGCTGTACCCCAATTCTGCCCTACTGGCCCCAGCTAACCTGTAGCCCCAGTACCCTACACTGCCCTCCAGTAGCTCTAATAGTTTAAAGTGCCCTACCAGCCCCAGTACCCTATCGGTACTACCCTAACCTGTAACCGCATTACCCTACACTGTCCTACCTGTAGCCCCTTTAACTGGAAAACTGTATAAGAGAGTAAATTTAAAGTACATTCAGCCCAAAAATCGTCTAGTGAAGTGCTACTCACAAGATCTGAGGGGTCTTGAGAATTCTAAATCCTCCGTTCTGGTGGGGCAAGACATCCCTAAGAAGTAATAGCATCACCCGACAATCATCCCCATGAGGTCCACAGATTGTCCAGCAGAACTGAGAATCTCAGCAGCACCCAGGGTAGGTACGGAGCCTGGACATACATACATCACAGCTGGATTTGCACAATACATGCTGAATTGGTCGTCATATCAGGCCTTAGCTCTCAGTTTAATTATCTAGAGTTTTTGATAAAAATATCTTATTATGTTATTTTAAACTAAATCCAAATATGACACAAATGTTTGTAGAAATTCCATGTACACATATCATAATGGGTTTCTTAATTTCTTCTTGGTGGCAACACGCCTTAATTTAAACGAGAGTTATTACAAACACACTCTTATAAGCGTTAGTTTAAAAATAATGTACCATGGCAACCACTAAATGGCAAGACTCAAAGAAACAGTAAATCAACCTTTTAAAACCTAAGCTTGAGTATAGCTCAGGGTGTTAGTTTGTTGAATCTCACCTGCAAGCGCTAATGTGCTTATAGTGACACTTCTTGAAATCGGCCAATGGTGGCATGGTAGCTCAGTCGGGGTTACACTGTCGTCTACATGTGTGGGTTCACACTTGGCTATCCATACTAAGCTCAATAATGTGTGGCTTAGCTGGCAGGAGGCGCCCACCTTAAATAAACGGTGTCCGGCTTCGGTAGAAGTTGATGGCATTATTGAGCTATGAGTTTAATAGGTATTGCACACAACACCTGTTTTGTGACCTTTTAACATTAGTATTGAGGATGTGTATTCCTAAAATAGTTTTGCCTGAACATCTGGAAAAATTCACACTTAACATGCAAAACACTGCTGTTCTGGATATAAGAAGGTATCAACTGACTACAAGATCCCCGTACGTAGAACGGGCACACAGCTAGTATATTACGAGGTATGCGGCCTCATGTCTGCCAATTGAGCAGAGTGAGCATCGATATAAACAAATAACCTTATTTACAAATACAATTTGTTATTACAAATATTATAGATTACAACATAAAAACATGAGTTAATGCTATTCATCGATAAACCTCATTAATTAGGGCTAAAAACCATCTTAAGATTTCCTTGATTCACTGGAAAACAAATTTCATCCCGTTCTCATCCCACAATCAGGATGGGAATGAAAAACCCCATTGAAATAAAAGTAAGATACCGTAATGTAGAGTTTGGAATACCTGGAGTATTTTGGCTTGCCTCCACCAAGAAGCTCAAAAGCTGGGCCATTGTTTTCTGAAGTAGGTCTATTCGATTTTCATTTGCCTGTGAATGAAATATAAAAGAACATGAACTAAATAAAGATGATTGACTAAATTTTGGATTTTGTCATCATCCACTATTAATGGAGTATTGGGGATTAGCATGGCCTTAGATTTATAAATACTTTTATTAGTAAGCATTTTCCCCAGCCGGAAAATACAATTGGACGATTCGTGTTTTTTTTTTTTACAGAATTAATTTGAATTTAAAGTAGGGTTTGAATCTAGTAGAGAGCTTTTTGGGAAGAGAATCTTGGGTTTTTATCCCATTTGCAGAAATCGTTTTCAATAATAATAGAATTGCAAACAATTTTGTATGGGATATACCTACCTCAGTTATCAGGATCCTGGATTATAATTTTAATCCAACTTTTTTCATGCAAGATCATCAGGTATTTATATACGTTTTAGACAACTTGTTTTATAATTAGGTTCTTTTTAATAATTATTTTTTAATTGTAAGTAATATTTCAGAAACCATTTCTATTTGTTTTACCAAGGAAAAACTTAATCAGGGTTGTCAGCAGGATCTATAAACAAAATTCACGCATTTTTCCCGGTTTTTCCGGCTAAAAAGTACGGAATTCCCGGCGTCTATTATACTTATAAGAACGGCACAACACAAGTTACACTTATCAGTAAATTAAAAAAAAGCAAGCCAAATTGCCCAAGGGACTACG